TTGCAGCTTTGCACCTACCCACAAACTGAGCGTTGAACTGACTCTTCCGACGTTTTTTCGTTCCAAGCAAACGACTCCTGATTTCGAAATGCGGGTGCAATCAAATAACAAATTCAAAATTGGTAGTAAATAAAAAACGCTCCTGTTGGGCAAAATAAGTATTATTATTGCATAATGCGTCAGTAAATTCAGCCCAGCTTGGCCATTATAAAGCTTTAGCTACTTCACCGCACTTTCCATTTGCACGGACCTCCGATACGAGCAAGGTTTCTGATTCTGAAGCGGTCTGGATTATTCCTGTGGCGATTACATTAAGCAGCCCATAATCCTTTGAGGGAGAGTCGCATTTCCATTATCCTGTAACCTTAAAACCGATGTCCACTACGGCTTGTCCAGAAGCCAAAGCATTTATGTGCACTGATGACATGGCGTTGTCACGCGCAGTATGATGACGCATTCGCGACTATTTTCGTCGTCGAATTTTCTGTAATTTCTGGACACCTCGGGACTTTCGGTAAAAACGTACAAACTGATTATATGAACACCAACACCACACACAGGCGAGGTCTGACCCGCGGGACTCTGTTCGCAAATTTAATCTTCGCGCCTATGCGAGTTCAGCCTGTCTGTCATGAAAATAAATGAATTCTCTTATGGCGTCTACACAGTCCACGCATTAGCAACATTTAATGTACGCAAAGAACTTTTCCCTGTAACTGTTCTGCTATTAAAAACCATTCCTTGTGCACTACAATCCTGGAATACAAAACTGCATCATCTACCTCTACGGATAACCCAACTCACCAGCCAAGTGCACTCTCACGATGGCCCTAAGGACTGACTCAACTATTCACGGTCACCGATTGTCAAAAACACTTTTCATCCACCCATTCGTCCATCCTGCCTCCAATCAGTGTTACCCTGGTTTAACTTTGTTATGAGGTAATAAAGAAGTCTGTTGAATCTTGTCTGCCTTCGTCATGTTGCTAGCCACTATGTTCAAGTTGTAACAATACCATAATAACAATAAGTGTATATGTTCTATTAGTAGTATGTATCGAAAAGAAAAACAATCGAGTACCGATGGTCATGCTGCTGATCATCTAAGCTAGAAAACGGGTTCGCTTCATCCCCTTATTCGATGCTTGTGGCTGACACATGGCGCACTGTCATTACTACATAGAACAAGCACACGCATTATCGAAAGCGTTTCATATGAGCCCACTGGAGTACAGTTGGCATGTCCCACCCTATCCACATGGGTCAGAGAATGACAACCAAGCCACAGTGACTTCCAGCAACTGTATTGGTGGTTTTCTTGCTCAGAGGTAAAATAAGGAGATTTTCGTTTTCGATGAAGTCGGCCTCAGCGAAATGAACTGAAAGTGTTACCTATAATCAAGAAATTTGGACGCCGGTGCCATCACCCCCTTCCACTTGCAGAGGATATTCCACAACAATCTGTAATACAGAACGACCAAGGAAGCAGCATTTGAGGGCCGTAAACAAACTGAGTACCCAGGACGCGACAGATGGGAACGCGACAGAGGGGAAAATGCAGATTTTCTCGCGTAAACATTTTGAAAATAGCCGTATTGGGGGTTCAAATATGGTGCTGCGAACATTCGAAACGTTAGATAATTTGGCTCAAATGGCCCGCATATGCATTGGGAACTTATGTGATGAGGGGAAACGTTTCCAGGGCTGGTCAGCGGGATGAGGAAGAGGCTATCAATACCAAGTACACGAATTCTAGGAAAATACAATTGTGTAGAAAATGAGAAACACTCACCAACTGGCCAAGATAATTAGATTGTCTAGGTCACCAAATGAACCGAACGACATTTGGATTGTACACTAGGAAAATACCACAGTGCGCGGTGCCAGGAACATTCCTGCTCGCAGCCCGTCTACGCAATCCCCCAAAAGCTTTCATTACGTTTTCGCAGATGAAGTGCTGGGAATAACTCAGCCAAGAAATCCCAGGGTAGCTTCCTATCGTTTCCTACAATTGCTAATTGAATGCATCCATTCCATAATGGGTGAAAAACCATGGCTCGGCCCCTAATAAAGTCACGGCGTCAGTGTGGGTGGTGCACTAACTGAATGATCATTGCAGAACTTTTACGCATGACAATAATTTCTAAGAAAGAGGCGCTTCTCGAACGTCATTTGTGGTATATAGTTTGAGAAATGTGGTATACTTTTTCTAATACAAGGTTGTTTCCAGGGCTCATATGGAAAGAACTCTCGATTTGTTACTAGGACGAACTTCATCAAACTGTAAAAGAGGGGGACCTCTGGCTACTAGGACGATAATTCCGTCAAGATAATCATTGCTCCCTGGAGCAACCTCCATGAGTAGCAATTCTGGGAATGCCTGAAACAATCGGTGTGATGCTCCCCAGCTTGGTTTGCGGTATTTAGATCTCAAAGTGGACTCTGCAGACTAAGGTTCATTTGCCCATATTTTTATTGTTAATAATAAACCTTTGAGTGTCTACGGATTTAAATTAAGTATACTGTGCGCTCTATGGCACGCACCCTATGTTGGCCCATTTTGATTTTGCCTGGCAGCTACAGGCCGTGCAATGTGACGGAACGCATTCTGAAGCGAGCTATCCTAGAGCACCTTACTTCCCGTGACCTGGTATCTAGAGCTCAACACGGATTACCGCTCTTGCGTGACAAACATGCTCGTGTTTATGGGCATCTTAACCCAAGCCAAGGACGAAGGACTCATATCGGATGCCCATATTTTTCGTCTTCTCAAAAGCATTTGATATGGACCCACACGACCCCTCCACCCACAAACGCGAGTCTTACGGGATTCAAGGGAAACTCCTACGCTGGATCAAGGCGTTCTTATCAGACAGAGCATTCCAAGTGTGAATAGGTTCGACCTACTCTTCTCCAGCGCCGGTCTCCATCGGAGTTCCTCAAGGCTCCGTCCTTGGATCAGTGCCGTTTCTGATCTACGTCAACGACCTCCCAGATGTTCTCAAGTCCATATCTGCTTTTTGCGGACGACTTGAAATCCTGGATTACCAACGCCAGTGCCCTCCAAATGGATGTAGACGCTGCCATCCAGTGGTCGCTGGACTGAAACCTTACTCTGAATGATGAAAAGTGCGTCCATATGTCGTTTGGAGGGGATTCAGCGAATGCTTTTGTTATGCATGGCGAAAAGGGACCCGAAAGCATCATGGGGATAGATGACAAAAAGGATTCGGTCATCTGGGTCTCCTCAAACTTGTCCTTCTCACCGCACCATGAGAAATCGGCACAAAAGGCATTCACCATTTTACGGATGATCCGACGACCCTTCTCCCCCTTATTACTGGCATTGACTTCCAAATACTCTATGGGGCCTACGGCAGACCGTTCCTGGAGTACGCCAACCAGGTTGTCTACTCAGGACGTACGCAAGGCGTCACCCTCATTGAGCGTGTCCAGCGGGCCGCCACGAGAATGGTTGCTGGCCTCAAGTCCGTGGACTACGAAACGCGTCTCGCGATGCTTGATCTCTTTCCCCTGGAGTGCCTTCGCCTCCGAGGGGACCTAATTCTTACTTATGCCCTGTTTGAACAAAGC